CCACAATCCTGAGAAGGGGAAGTCGTTACGGACACACCGCTGGTTTGCTAGACAGGATGGTTGTCTTTGCAGTCTTATTGCAATAATTGTTGAAATCCGTCCAAATTTTGCAGTATATAACTTTGTCCTAGCACCTTTCCTTTGTTTTGAGGAAATGGATTTCTTCTCTAGACCCAGACATCAAATTGGGCACGAATTTTCTTCCGCAACCGGTAGGCGGTTATTCTTCAAAACCTCCGAGGCGGGAACTTAACCGGGGGGCAACCGGGACCGACATATGTATTAGTGACATTGTCAGAGAAGTGTCAACACTCCCTACGCCGTGTCCTTTGAGTTGACAGCGTTCTTTCAGGCGATGGGGCCTCCACCCACCCTTCCTTCAGACTGTTTACAAAGGGTATCTGCGAGTGTTGTAGCCGAGTATTCGCCAAGAGTAGCTACGCGAGTCATTATCTCGCCCGTTTGCTTTCAGGCGGGTATCGCCCTATGGTAACCCACCACTGGAATCGGTGCGAATCGGTGCGCATGGCCAAGTTTTCAAATGGGGCGTGATAGTGTTGCAAAACTCCTGCAGAGAAAAGGGAGAAGGAGTAAGAAGAAAGAGAGTGGGGGGGGGGGGGCATCAGTGGAGTGGATAACAGTGATTGCTGCAGACTCAGCCATGTTGCTGGCGGTGGTCGAGTCGGCCGTGATTGTGAAGGTCCCTGGAGGGCGACCGCGCCGCGCCGCAGCGAAACACCGGCCCGCAGGTGGCGCTCGGGATGATGCCAAAGTAACATGGAACGAGAGAAACAGTTACCAATTTAGAGCACTTTTGACGCGCGTCTCTTCGAAACAATCACTGGGAGAAATTCTTGTAGTAAGGGTTACAGGAAAATTTTCCATGATGCGCGTGTTGTAAAATAACAGCTTAAAATTATAAAATTACAAGCACCGTGTGTATCGACTTGAAATTCATTGACGAGCAGGAAGGCGCTGTCGTAAATTTACAACATATTCTGACAATCGTAATTTACAAAATATGTTGTAAATTTTACAAAGATAGTTTTGTACTGTGAATAGGGTGGTAAAATTTCGCACCTGTGCTGTTTTCGTCAGAACTCCTTTGATCCTGGAGTTGGAGCGTCGTCCAGTCGATAATATGGCAAGGAAGGCGATACGGAAAGGGAATTCCCTCTCTCCCCCCTCCCTCCCCCTCCCTCTCTCCCCCTCCCCTCCTCCTCTCCTCCTCCGTCTCCGACCGTGTCCCTGCAAGTCTTGCCCGCCCGGTCAGCCCGCGCAGCCCGGCATTGGAGATAAGCAATTTTCGTGGCTCGTGATTGGTGGGAATCCCTGGGGAGGAAAACTCCATCTACAAATGAACGGCCGTGACAAGAGCTATAATTCGTGCGAGCGAGACGGGGCGAGGGGCGAAGGGCGAGGGATGCGGTGAGGGAGGGGGCGAGAGAGAGAGAGAGAGAGAGAGAGAGAGAGAGGGAGAGGGGGGGGGGGGGGGGGGGGGGGCATCAGTGGAGTGGATAACAGTGATTGCTGCAGACTCAGCCATGTTGCTGGCGGTGGTCGAGTCGGCCGTGATTGTGAAGGTCCCTGGAGGGCGACCGCGCCGCGCCGCAGCGAAACACCGGCCCGCAGGTGGCGCTCGGGATGATGCCAAAGTAACATGGAACGAGAGAAACAGTTACCAATTTAGAGCACTTTTGACGCGCGTCTCTTCGAAACAATCACTGGGAGAAATTCTTGTAGTAAGGGTTACAGGAAAATTTTCCATGATGCGCGTGTTGTAAAATAACAGCTTAAAATTATAAAATTACAAGCACCGTGTGTATCGACTTGAAATTCATTGACGAGCAGGAAGGCGCTGTCGTAAATTTACAACATATTCTGACAATCGTAATTTACAAAATATGTTGTAAATTTTACAAAGATAGTTTTGTACTGTGAATAGGGTGGTAAAATTTCGCACCTGTGCTGTTTTCGTCAGAACTCCTTTGATCCTGGAGTTGGAGCGTCGTCCAGTCGATAATATGGCAAGGAAGGCGATACGGAAAGGGAATTCCCTCTCTCCCCCCTCCCTCCCCCTCCC